GACCCACTGCTGGGACCCAAGGTGTGGGACCCACTGCTGGGACCCACTGCTGGGACCCACTGCTGGGACCCACTGGTGGGGACCCGCTGCTGGGACCCACTGCTGGGACCCCACTGCTGGGACCCAAGGTGTGGGACCCACTGCTGGGACCCACTGCTGGGACCCACTGCTGGGACCCACTGCTGGGACCCGCTGCTGGGACCCAAGGTGTGGGACCCACTGCTGGGACCCAAGGTGTGGGACCCACTGCTGGGACCCAAGGTGTGGGACCCACTGCTGGGACCCCAACTGCTGGGACCCGCTGCTGGGACCCACTGCTGGGACCCACTGCTGGGACCCACTGCTGGGACCCACTGCTGGGACCCACTGCGGGGACCCGCTGCTGGGACCCACTGCTGGGACCCAAGGTGTGGGACCCACTGCTGGGACCCACTGCTGGGGACCCACTGCTGGGGACCCGCTGCTGGGACCCCAACTGCTGGGACCCACTGCTGGGGACCCACTGCTGGGGACCCGCTGCTGGGACCCCAACTGCTGGGACCCACTGCTGGGACCCACTGCTGGGACCCACTGCTGGGACCCACTGCTGGGACCCACTGCTGGGACCCAAGGTGTGGGACCCACTGCTGGGACCCACTGCTGGGACCCACTGCTGGGACCCAAGGTGTGGGACCCCAACTGCTGGGACCCAAGGTGTGGGACCCACTGCTGGGGACCACTGCTGGGACCCCGCTGCTGGGGACCCAAACTGCTGGATCCCAAACTGCCAGGCACCCAAACTGCTGGGGACCCCCGCTGCTGGGGACCCCACTGCTGGGACCCCAACTGCTGGGACCCCAACTGCTGGGACCCAAGGTGTGGGACCCACTGCTGGGGACCACTGCTGGGGACCCACTGCTGGGACCCGCTGCTGGGACCCAAGGTGTGGGACCCAAGGTGTGGGACCCCCGCTGCTGGGACCCAAACTGCTGGGACCCAAGGTGTGGGACCCACTGCTGGGACCCAAGGTGTGGGACCCACTGCTGGGACCCAA